CACCCCCCGACAATACACACAAACCTGGAGGTGTAAACGTAGAGGATGAAGCCTGACAAATACACTCAAGAGTCGAGCCGGGGGGATAAGAAATAAAGCATTAATGCTAAACATTAAAGAATACAGACTGAACAATAAAACATGACAAAACACCAAACCAGCATAAGCCCACTGCGCAATGCCCTGGATAAAACCCGGATGAAGCCAGTGCTTAGACCCTGCAACCTAACTGCGTACAATAGAAGCCTGAAAACCAAGGAATACAGCTAACACATATAGGAAGAAATGTAATGTTTAACAAAACTCCATAAAATAGGAGCCCTTAGAATTACAGAAACCTAAGCAGAACAGCAGGGTGACAGATGGGAAGCAGGTCTAATCAATAATGGGAGCAACATAGAGCCTCAAGCAGAAGGCCAACCGCACAGCTTAAGTAGTACGAGATAGAGACCATATAATAAGTAAAAGGGGCAGGGACTGACAACCTACTTCTGCGATATACATTTCCAATCATTACGCCTAAGCACTGCATGTGCCCCATAGTGCATGTAGCATGAAAGTTCCTTCATCATCACTGAGCCATAAGCCATACCTGAGGCCCCATAGAGGTTAAAGCCCAGGAATTAACACAGGAAGAGGAAGACTCAGACTCCAAGGCCTAAATCCAAAATCGAAAACTTAATCATTCTGGGCTAAGAGATACAGCCTAAGGAATGAAACCTAAAAAGTTAACAATACCTTCAGGAGCAATAACCAGGAACTATATGCATCGAAGCATGATCAGTCAAGTCCTAAAGAGTAAACCCTGAACTTAACGCCATAGTCTTGCACCCTGAACCTGAAGCCCAAATGTGCACGTTAGGCCTCCAATCTTGACGCAAACCCTTAAAACATTGGGTCTTAGTAAAGAGAGGAAGCCTCCAAACTATAACCCTTAAACCCAAACACGTAAACAACGACACAAAAAAAATTAGAACATGAGCCTAACAAGTACAGGAGAAAGAAGGCACCCTCAAAAGCAGGCAATAAAGAATACAAAATAATCCAGGAGCAGCGAATAATAGGGGAAGAGTCGGGGGCCTAAAGCTAGGAATAGCCCCTAAAACCTAAATTTTGACTGAAAGGCTATAAAAATAAGCCATGCAGACTACAGAAAACCCCCCACCAGGACCCTGAGTCCCCCACGATATAAAGTACAGATGCCCCCTTGAAACCAGGAAACCGCAGCCCTGAACCTTGAACTTCCATGCTTGGAAACCAACTCTAAATCAGCAAGGCTAAATCCTCGACCTTAGGTCATACAGTATGAAATCTAAGCCTAAACGCTACGGCCACCGAATTAAACCCAGCGGACGAACCAAGGGAGAAACCATCAATCCTGAACATCAAACCGAAAAATGAACAGAAAGCATCTCGTCCGTAGGATCCATGTGACAGGCGGATGCATGATAGAATGCGAAACCTACACCTCCAAATGTGGACCAAAACAGCTGAGAGTGAAGGGGGAGTACTAAACCCAGAATCAAGGAGCATAACATGCACGTACTCTTCTGGTATAAGCAGTAAGCGCTGGACATTGACCGTACACTTACGTCGAAGTATCGACATCTGAGAACTAGGAACTATAGTAGTAACCATTGAGAAATAGGTCATGACAACTGTAGGATACACCTCGAAGAGTAAGACGTAAATATTAAAACAAAAACAGTAGCTCATGAGCACTACACCATATATCTTGGAACAATAAGATCTGGAATTTCCAACATGGAAGAAACACAGTGCACGCTGAACAGCAAAGCCTCAACCTAACTCTTAAAGGATAAATCCTAAACCCTAAACCCAGCAGCCTAATACAGATGCCCAGAGCCTATGGCCGTAACATAAACCCGAGATCCTACACCTCAAACCGCACGGTCTAGACTCAGGCAAGCAGAAAAATCATCTAACTCCTAAACCCCAAGGCACAATCGGATATCATCATCACTGAAGACTCAGAATGAGATTCCGGATACCCCTAGGGTAGACCTTAGGAGATTCTTTCGAGGGACGCTAAGAGCTGAAGACTGAAACCCCAAAAATTAAGCACGAATGCAGAATGCTCGAATTGGCCCCAGGGATAGCCACGGTCAAACCTAAAGAGTCAACCCGAAGGAGAGGGCCGACAGAAACCGTGGCGGTGAGCGTAACCGCAGAAATATAACGCATGAGGGACAAGGCCTCAGGACTCAGCACTAACCCCAAAAGCCTAAACCCTGAACAGTGAGGCCTGAGTGCTACACCCTCAAACCTATTGGTATACTCCCCAACGGAAGCAGATACAGAGTTTTATACAAGGGGCGGCTGAAAATAGATCCTGGACACTGACACCAGAACTCAACAGAAGAACATAAACCGTAAATCCTAGATCATGAAACCGAAACCGTAAAAGCAGTATCCTAAAGAATAGAACCTAATCCATGGACCTTGGAAGCCACTTCCTGGAAAGTAAAGAGTCACAGGAAGCTCTAGAACATACTCATAGGGCATATGTCGTGAACCATAAATTGCAAACCTGGAACCCTGAACGGTACATCTTAATAGATAGCAGGTAAGCCCAAACATCAAACAAGTAAAAAATGAAGGCTAAAAGATCCAGGGCTCACTCCCGGATTTTAGATGGCTGGAGCCAAGCATGAAAACAAGAATAGAACCAGAAGCCGAAACTCTAGACTTACACAAATAATCCATACCCTCCACACAGTATATCGTACAGCGCAAGACACAAATACGCATAACCCTGAATCCGAAGCCTTACCAGTAAACCGGAAGCCTAAATCCTAGACCTATATCGTAAAATCTGAAGAGTGAAGTCGGAACCGTGGATTCTAAAGACTAAAAACTCACCCATTGAGCGGAACAGACTAGAAGCTAAGTCATGAACCGTAAAACATGAATCCATAAAAGTCAACCCTGAACCCTAAAGATAAACACTAGACGGTACATCATAAACACTGAACACTAAACCGTAAAGCATAGATGCTGATGAATGAAATGTAATAGCTAAAACCTAAAGTCTAAGGCCTGAAACCTGAAAAGTGCGATCTGACCCCTAAGCCATGAACCTTGGAAGATAAGCCATAAAAACTAGACCATGAGTCCTAAGACCCTGAAGCCTAAAATCTGAACCATAGACCGTAAGACTACTTCCTGGACGGTGAATCCTTGATGCCTGAACCCAGAAGCATGAACCCTAAACCCAAGACCATAACCCCTGAACGATGAAAAGTAAGCCCTAAGCCGTAATTCCATGAAATCCTGAATCATGAACCCTGAAGCGTAAATCCTAAGCCCTAAAACTAGAACCTAAACCCTGAACCCTAAAACTAAACTCTAAAACTTAAATATAAGCACTGAAAATGAAAATCCTAAAAAGAGAGCTTGAACCCTAGGCCTTGAACCCACAACTATAGAAGCTGAACACTGAACCGTAGACCTCTGGAACGTAGAACCTTTTATCCTAAAATCTGAACACTAAAACAGCAAGCCCAAATCCTGGAGCCTAACCCGTAAGCTCAACCCCTTAAACCTAAACCCTGAACTCTGCAACCCTAGACCCTAGACCATGAAGCCTAAAACTGAACCCTCAACCCTAAACCCTGATCCGTGCAGCCTGAACCATAAACCCAGGTAGACCGTAAATCCTAAGGCTAGACACTGACCACTGAACCGAAACACAGAAAACTGAACCCTGAACCGGGAACATGAGGGCTCAACCCTAAAACCACAACCCTGAATCCTAGACCCTAAGCCTAAACCCTGAAACCCTAAACCTTAAAAACTGAGCCGTAACCCGTGAAACCTGACCCTGAGCCCTAAACAATAAAGCATAGACATAACCCGTAGACCCCCACCCCTAGACCCCTAGACCGTAACCGTAAACACTAAACACTACCCACGAAACACTAAACCATAATGTCTGAAACCGTTAACCCTAAAGAATAAAATTAAACAACAAAGATTGAGGCTTGAGCCCTAAACATCAAGTCCTAGATCCTAAGCCCTAAAGCTTGCAACCTTCAAGCCCGGAGATCACACTGTAACTGCAAAGACTAACTCCTATTACCTAAGGCCGGAACTGTACCTCCCTCCAGGGCGACTACTACCCACTCCCTACTCCATTCAGCGGCTGTCAAACTCAAATTGATCTTCTCAATGCTATTTGTGGGGCATCGATGCAAAACTTTTATGATTCCTCCTTTGACGTGGACGTCCTGAACCGCACAATTAGCCCCCTGACCCGGGACTTTATTTTTGTCAGTCCCCTCCACCTAATTTTCATGCTCAGAAAGTAATGCCAAGTTGCCGTTTGGGGTTAACTTTCTCCGTGTTTACCTCCCCCCTCTTGGTTCAGGGTTAGTCAACTTTCTTCTCTCTTGATTAACCCAGGTCTGATACTTTCCTTAAGTTCAGTTCCTCTGTTTCGTCTGAGGTCACGTATTGCGGTCCCTAATAGGTTGACATGGGTAGTGTTCTCTAGTTTGCATTTTCCTCAACCTTCATACATATTCCCTTTTCCATTATATGACACGTTATACACTTTAGCTTCCCTTTTCCTGGGTCTCCTATAGACTCTCTTCCAAGAATATACAGTGGTTCCTATCAGCATTAATATACTTATCCCTGCCCCAACCACCTTTGAAATGAGTTCTCCTGAGTTAACCCCCTGGGAATCATACCTCTCTAGTTGAGCTGCTTCCGTGTTTCTGAGTTGCTGGGTAATTCCGGTCTCATCTTGTTGTATTCCCTTTTTAAGAGCTTGCAATTTCTTATTTACCTACATTAAGGCATGTTCAGGATTTTCTCTCTCTTTGTTCTTGTTTTGATACTCAATTATACCGCGTCCCCTTGAGCTCATGAGGATAAACTTTTCCCATGGTGTTCGGGAAACTGCTTTTCCGGATGTGGCTCCTCTCACAGGTGTAACTCTGATCCTTTATTTACTTTTTCCCTTCCTTATTTTATTAAAGAATTCGCTCCGTGGTGGCGCGCCCATTACTCACCTGCTCGGCTTCTCTTCCTTCGTCATCCTGCCCTACGTCACATCCGTTTCCATCCTTCCAAGCTAGACAACTCACATAATACGAATTTGCCTTTTTTGTGTCCTTGCTACACTGCATTCCATGGACTAAGCTACCGACGCTCCTGAATAAGTACTGCCACTGTTCATCCCTTTTTGGGCTCAAGTTCACTGGAAAGTTGTTCCTAATCGTTTCAGTTTCAGTTGCCTGAAACCATAGCTCCATGAGCTCCTTAGCTATTGAGTCATTGCTCCATTCTTCCAACCTTTCATACATGTACTGGCAGACGTCCTGTCCTCGGTCTAGTGCCCATCCGTCCTGCTTCCTGACTACATTCTGAAAAGCCGTCAAAATTATACTTACCATATCCATACAAACTAATAATGTCCTATCGGCCTGTTGAGACAGATACAACTCCTCGCCTTTTCCCCTCGTGGTCCAGACTTCGTAGTTATCTTGATAAGGGCAAGTGATCTCATTCCTTTTTCCATTTATCCATCCGAGCTGGTTTAATTGGCACTCTCCTTGTTTCTTCTCTTGGGGCAGAGTCCCTGGAGCTTCCTGATTACTTACCCAACTCTCCAATGTTTTACATATTAATTTGGCCCTCAGTGCCGTGTCTTTTAATTGGATGTGCCCCCTTGTGGATATGTTATCCCATCTTTCTCCTCCGACTTTAGAACTTCCCCCTGCTGCTGGTTTCAGTATTTCCCATAATCTTAACTTATAAACTCCTGCTTCCTTGGCTTGTGGGCTTCTGCTCACTTTCTTTGTCAAGTCGCTTAAATATTCACTGAACTTGAACGTCATCCTGCCTGTTTTATTATACTTCCCCTCCGCTGTCTTTCTCCGCCCTATACCGATACCGGAGTCTTCCTGATTGATCTTAAATCCTCCTTTGTAGATCTGGCTCGCTTTAGCCTCGGGAGTTTTGGGGTCCAAATTCCGGCACTGCTTCTCAAACTAGCTAAATCCCCAATTTCAGATGGACTCTTTGTCATACTCTAACTACTATTATCTTTTTCTCTTTCTTATGAACGGTCGTCAGTGCCTCCTGTTGTGCTATGTAGCTCGTGTCTGTCGGTTCTTCTCTATTGTCTCTCCTCTCCACCCATACGAAGTTCTCCTGCTTCTTCTCCTCCTTCTCTATGTTACTCACTGATCCTATCAGTCCCTCCTCCTGTATCTGTCACCTCTGTGATCTTTTCGACTACTGGCTTTTCCTTCGGCTGACAAGACGTTTCTTCTGGGAATAGACTGGTCCCCTGGAAAGGTTCGTGTTATCACCCTTCTGGTTTCTCCCTACCTCCTTCTCAGTTTCTTACCCGCTCCCTCTCAGGAGACGTCTCCTTTCCCTGGATTTGTTTTCATAGATCCTCATTACCGCATGGCATCTCTTCCTTCTCATTTCGTTGTAGTGGCCTCCTTCCTGAATATTTTCTCCTCCACGTTTGGGCGGCCGCTCGGGAGTACCCTGTTCTCTTATAGTAGGTTCGTTGCCTTGTTCCCTTATTTCCCCAATTTTCTTCTTCTCATGAACTGCCCTCAGATTTTTATTTTGGGAACATATTTCTGCTTCATCTTCTGCTCCTGAGATACTCTTCTTCCTGATTTTCCGTCTTCAGCTCCTTATCTGACTTTCCCTGCCCACGAACATGGCCAGTTTGTTTTCTGATTACTTTAAATGTGTCTGCTGTTGCTCAGATTTAATTCCCCGGCATATAAATCGTGAGGAGATGTTACTCCACTCCTCCTTTGACTCTTCTGCTTATCTTTGTTCTCTTGAGAGTTGTTTGGGTTCTTCTCTCGCTGGTTCGTTTCGTGAGCAGTTGGACAGCTTTTACTACTTCTCCCTCCTATACGATGACTGTTATTAGGATCACTACGCCGGATTCCGTTGGATTGGCTGTTGCATTTTAGGCTTCGTCTTCCTTCGCCTCCTGCTTCGCTTTAGATTTCGGCTTGGCTCCTTCATTACTCCCCTCAGATTCCTGCGGTGCCTGCCTGATCTTCAAGGCTTAAGAACTCTTTTCTACGAATCAGATATTTCATTCTCCATTCTTTCTCTCACTTCGCTCCCTATTATTGATTTCATTCTTCCGACTCGATCTTTTCTCTCCTGTGTCTATGGCTTTTTCGTTGATTAG